ATTGATTCTTAAACATGTTAATAAATTGTAACTATAACTTATGTTTCTATAAATAAATTGTTACTTTTGTAAATTAATTTTAAACTTTGTAAATTGATTTAATGCATTGTAAATTGATTTGGGATTCTAGGTTTAAATTCTTTAGAAATGATTTTTGAGGGTAATGGCTTGCCATATGCGGGTACCCGCTGCGCTGGGTAAAATCGTACTATTAATTCATACGACTAATAATGGGACACATTAAGAACATTGGGTAAAAATTGACAATAACATTGCACACAATATCAATATTTACAAATCAGTCTAATAAGATAATAAGCATGGGGAAAAACTGTTACGTATGCCATTTATATGACAGCACGAACTCAAATATAGATTAGATTGTTTAAGGTATGCGTTACAACTTTTGCGCATAAGCTGATTACATTGCTCGAGTAAACACATTTGTTAATGTACGGCAGATATACAGTCACAGACAATACTTACTTACAGAACCTACTTAGGTCACATTTATCATTGCTTGTTTGCATGAATCCGACCAGGCATTTTGAGGTAGATAAGTAGATGAGCCAAAATAATCCTAATTCACTACATGCAGTGTCTCACAAATGTATATATTACAAGTAAAGAATATTGCAAAATATTCGGTTTGGCGTTATGTTTATACGGCCCCACGTCTGCGCTGCGGACGGGTTTCTTACTATATAGTCGGTGTACACGATGTTTTAAAAACGCCATGGTGTTATTCCTCCAGTGAAACCGCAGGTTATTTTTCCTCGTTTAGGCTCGGATTTAGACATTTACTAGTTTGCTAAACCAAGACATTTATCCACGTATTGCGCCCATGTGAAAACTTTAACAACAACCAGTGTATAAAAGTCAGCACCAATCAAAGCTAACTTGTCGCCATCTAGCAATACTTCTCGTTAACTATGAGCAGTTTGCTGTCATGCAGCATACCTCTTCGCTAGCTTACATAGTACAATACGTAGATGAACCTCTGCACGAAATGTCTTCAAACGATGTCGGAGACAATTGGTCGTGCCTACCGCGGCTAAGCAAATCACATTCACAGACGTGAATTCTGAACACTTATCGGAAATCACAACTTATTTCAACAACACAATTACAGAAATTAAAAACTTATTCACAGTCTGCGTTCACTCTGCTAGTGATATCTTACTAAGTAACTTCAATTAAATTTATTGCAACTGAGCCAAGTGTTGAAGCTGGCAGATGCGTTGATTAATATGGTACCGATGTAAAATGACAACTATATAGGCATCGGCAGATCCGTCTACCACTGTCAGTGTGTTAATTTGGCAACGAGGCAGTCACATGAGCAACACGTTGCTTTTGCGATCGAGTTTTGTACTGAGAACCCCTGCTATAACACGTCACTACAGCTCAATAGCCCACTCGTTACTAATGAGCAACAATGTCATCTGTGCAGGTACTGGACTTATTATTAAATATACAGCAGATGACCAGCAAGATGGCGGCGATCAAGAAGAGGACAGATCCTACGACGATTCCAGCAATGTCTCCCGCTGATAGCTCCGTGTCTGTAACGGGAATATAATGAATATATATATATATATATATATATAGTTAGTTATATCTGCACATATCACCTATGCATGTCCATATAAACATAGGTTCATGGTATTATCAAAAATAACTTATATATATAAGGGTCTGTAACGGTAATATCATGAATAGTTATATATCTACACATATCATCTACGCATGTCCATATAAACATAGGTTCATGGTATTATCAAAAATAAACTATAGGCGGCTATCGAGAACTACTTAGCAGACCAGACTCATCATTAATTGATAGGCATTACATTTATCAATATGATGAGGGGCATCGCACGTGTCACGGAGATATAAATAGTTTTTATTAAAATGCACCGAATCACAAAACGATGTATTAGCATCGTTACGAAGTACGATTTGCTTACGAGCCATGGTCATTCGCATGTGGAAATCACTGTCCCCAGCATCGCTGTATGCGAAAATGCTGTACGTCTTCTCCGTGTCGTCCTTTACGATGTTCTGTATTCTCAGCGATCCAACATAGCAGCCAGGTTGACCGGATTGCGGAACTAAACTCGCCGATATGCGCTCATCGTACTGCTCCTGTTGAAATAGACAAAAGCATTACGTAGTTCACAAGCAAATTTTTAAATAGCATTTCAGAGAATATATGTGCAAATTGCTTTTTCGGTAAAATCACGAAACGTCACGACTGCAGAGAATGTAGAACGATAGAAATCGACGACCAGAATATAGAGAATGCATGGCGAAGGCATAACGAAGAGAGGGCTGAGTGGAAGGCGCATACAATACAGGCGTGCACGGCTTATACCGTAAATTCCAGGCAAAGTAGAGGAAATTTGGTCAAATTGATGCAACGGTTAGGGATGCATAACAACTAGGGGATGGCAAAGACGAAGCCGTGATAAGCTGTGAAGGAGAGAAGGAAGTTTTCAATTCCGGTAAACTACTCATCACAGACTACCGAGTTGTAAACGTCACTGATACTTTACTACACTGATTACTGATATTACTACTACCTGCTTGTTTATTTCGTTAACGCGGATCATCGTGACCTGATCCCCATCACTCCATTGCCAAGAAATTCCCAAAAAGCGCACATCGTCATCCGTACAGAAGGCAGAGTTGAGGACTGTGCTGCTACCTAAACTTGTAGTCACCGATGTTGATCCTTGGTGAAACTTTGGTGTTGCTGGAGTAGCAGATGAAACGTGTAACATGAATCAATGTCTTGCGATTATAGCTATACTAACGATACAGATCACGGATTAACAAGATAGGCTCTTAGATTCCGGGAAAGGCATGCGGATATTTAGCATGTGTTTATAGGTTATCAGAAACGCGCATGCACGTACGCACGCAATAACACACCTTCTACTATTGAAATGGTGATTCACAAATGATGATAAACAGAGAGAGGGTGAATGAGAACGGGGGAGAAAGGGATAGAGGGAGAGAAAGAGATAGCGGGAGAGAGGTCAGGAGAGAGAGAGAGAAGAGAAAGGTGGGCGGTAGAATAATCTGTGATGTCGTTACCTGAAGCCAGATAATCTGTAAACAATCTTTTTCTAACCGCACATTATCCGCAAAAGCTACATATATATAGCAGACGAAGCTATGTAGGTACAGTAATATGTGTTACTACTTGCTAGCAGTGTCAGCCGCATCTGTTTTTATACCTGCATATAGGTGCAAATGTACACATGTAAATCCAACACATTGTTGAAAATCTTACACTCGTTATTATGGTCACCTACGTATCTTCAGCTATACAAGAACGCACTATATCTAGAATGTCAACCATATAAGCATGCAGGCGTACGAGACATGGACAGAGAGAGAGAGAGAGAGAGAGAGAGAGAGAGAGAAAGAGAAAGAGAGAGATAAAGGCAGAGGGCGAAAGAAAAAGAAAGAGAGAGGGTGGGCGATACAGAAGATGGCAAAGCGAAAAGAGGAGAGAAGAGACAGAGAAGAGAGGAGGTTAAAGGTGAAATAAAATATAGTGTAATGAAAAAATATGCATTCGATAAAACATCGTAGATTACACAATCTCCTATCTAATTACAAGTCATATTTTATTCTGTGTAGCAGTTTAAATGCAGCGATCGTAAATATTTGAGACAACACACTCTTAACGATGGTAACAATTACATTGTTGCTGCAAAAATACATCGCTATAGTACTAAAAATGTACAATTCTCATAATAATTCTCATAATAATAATTCTCATAATAATTCTCATAATAACAATTCTCATAATAATAATTATGGTACTGGTGTAAAATGACAACTATAGGCATCGGCATACACGTGTGTATACATGCGGCAGATCCGGCTACCACTGTCGGTATGTTAATTTGGCAACGAGGCAGTCACATGAACAACACGTTGCTTTTGCGATCGAGTTTTGTACTGAGAACCCCTGCTANGTAATAATAATAACTAGTATATATATATATATATATATATATATATATATATATATATATATATATGTGGGTTATTTGACAACAGAAGACATCATAGTTAACGCCTAACTGATCAGGTAATCAGATAACGTCTTCTGGTGTCAAACAAATCTTTTTTATGTAATTGACTAACTTTGTCAACCAGAAGGCTTTTGTACACACATACACGCACATACAAACACACACATACACACATACACACACGCGCACGCAGATACATATATATACGTCACCTTAAACCACTGAATCGTAAGAGGCGCAACCCCATTTCCTGTGCATTGAAGAGTCACCCCTTCAGTTTCATCCAGAGCAATCTCCTCCACGTAATCTTTAATTGAGACCTCGGGCGTGGCTGCAGTATGAGAAAATGTATGAGATCAACCATTTTCCTCCCTCACTCTTTCCCCACATTTTCCACCCCCATCGCCCCACCATCGCTGTTTCATTCTTCTATACTCGGCTCTCCTGATCTTATCTATCTGGTTCTCTGTTTATCTATCTACGACCACCCTGCCCACCCTTTCCCTTATTATCCACATTCTCTCTCTTCCTTCTCTTCTGGCATTAATTCTTAGACTTTCTCATCGACTCTCTCTCGGTCTTTGTTTTTAACTCTCTCCCCTCGCAAGCCTGTTTTTGAGCGCGCAGACGCGTTGTTGTAAGAGTATGAGAAGCACTGCTGGAAAGGGACAATGATATAATATCTAAGTTACTCACACTTGAAATCGTAATAAATGGACGCCGTGTGGTAATTGTTTTCGTTCACCAGGTTATATCCTGAGCAGGAGAAACTGCCACCCACTAGGCATGGATCGTTAGTCGTCACCCACGTAAATTGTGCAAACTGTTGGTGTAAAAGACAAGGTTATTAAACGTTAGGTTTAACTATTATATCACCGGGAGTAGCGAGTACAACTAAGGTTATTGCCAACATCTCACATACCGACGTACGAGATCGCTAGGACATCAACCGTTAGTGCGGCTCGTAGGGTCTATGTCTCTCTGACCTCTGTTTGACCTGCCTCGTTTAGCTATTTCTGAGGTGTCTTCCCGTTTCGCCATTTTCCC